TGTAAAAGCATTGATTTCACTGAAAAACAAAAGAAAACCCAGGTTCTTCTATAACATCAAATGGGATGCAAGACAGAGGCAATGAAGACTCAGAGCCTCCTGCCAATCAACAGGACTTCAAAATTTCTGGGGCCAGAAGGACACCCAAAGGAAGTTAAAGGTTAACCCTTCTAGTCTCTTCCTAACTCACCTGGTCACATCTCCACAATCATCTGAAATGGAAATCAATCCATTTCGTGGCTTCCTTCTCAGGAAAATTAGACCATAAGGCATCAGGATTAGAGCTGGAATCAACTTGGGTCCTATGGATTGCATCTTAAATGTTCCCATGAGCTAAACAAAACCTTGATCTCTAGCCTGCTGTTCTGAAGAATGGTGCAGCTAGGAGGTGGACCCCTAGGGAGGTGGAACTTTTGAGAGGTGGAGTGGGCCCTTGGGGAGGTGGAGCCTTGGGGAGGTGGATGGAGCCTTAGGGGGGTAGACCCTTGGGGAAGTAGAGCCTTAGGGAGGTGGAGCCTTAGGGGGGTGGAGCCTTGGGGAGGTGGAGCCTTGGGGAGGTGGAGCCTAGTAGAAGGAGGTGGCTTTGTTAGAATGGGTGTGGCCTTGTTGGATGAAGCGTTTCATTGTGAGGATAGGCTTTGAGGTCTCATGTACTCAAGCTATGCCCAGTGTGTCACCATTCACTTCCTGTTGCCTTCAGATCAAGAAGTAGACCTCTCAGCTCCTTCTCTACACGGTGACTGCACGCCGCCATGCTTCCTTCCTGCCATGATGATAATGGACTAAACCTCTGAAACTGTAAGCCAGCCCCAGTTAAATGCTTTTCCTTTGTAAGAGTTGCTGTGGTCATGGTCCCTTCACAGCAACAGAAACACCCTGAGACACGGTCCAAGGACTCTCAGGTGGCACGGTGTTCAAAATGGAGCTGCAGGGTTTCAACACTGCTGCTTGGGCTCAGGGCTTTGTATCCACAGTCAGTCAAAAATAGCTCCTTTATCAGCAGCAAGGTGAAGGCAAAACAGGTATCACCACAGTTAGAGAAGGTCATCAAGTCCCATAGCCCTGGGCACAGCTCCACCAGTTTCCACACAAAACCCAGCATTAGATAATGGTGTGGGTTTTGTCTTCATAGTGTAGCAGTCATGCCTCGTGAGCAAGCTTGAGTTTTGCAAAGACTTCCAAGGGTACGTGCTTGCCAGCCCAACTTCTTGAATGTGCCACAGGAGCCGGAGCCTCACTTTGGAGTTTTGTTACTGAACTCAACACCACGGGGCTGTAACTGTGTGGGTAGCAGAAGCCCTGACAGTCACGCTGGCCTAAACAGTAGAGGGTCCCTAGCCTAGATATAACTTCAAGGTGGAGATGGTCAGTTTCCAAAGACATATTATATGCTGATGGCAACACCCAAGAGTTTCAATGAAAGTATTTTTTTTATAGATTCCTGTGGTAGTTTGAATGTAATTGGCCTGCATAAGGTCATAGGGAGTGGCACTATTAAGAGATGTGGCTTTGTTGGAGGAAGTGTGTCACTGTGGCTGCAGGCTTTAAGGTCTCATATGCTCAAGCCATGCCCAGTGTCTCTCTCTTCACTTCCCGTTGCCTACAGGTCAAGATGTAGAACTCTCAGCTCATTCTTCAGCACCATGTCTGCCTGCACGCTGCCGCATCCTGCCTGCCATGAAGAAGGACGGAACCCCTGAAGTTGTAAGCCTGCCCCAAATAAATGCTTTTCCTTTGTAAGAGTCACTGTGGTCCTGGTGTCTTCTCAGCAACAGAAACCTAAGAGGGTCTTCTTCTTCCTAAAACATGTTATGAACTGTATCAGACAAAATGAGGACCATTAAATACTGTGTTCAAGATGTTATGTATGGTTCCTCTGCCTTTAAACCACAGAAGATATTAATGTCTTTGAAACACACTTGCTGTCATTGGAAGGGTATTTAGTAGTATCGATTAAAAAGCTGTAACCTTGTGGCAGCCAGAAGGCTCAGTGGGTGAAGGTGCCTGCTGCCGTAAGAGGCAGCCTGAGGATGAATGACACCAGACTGTCCTCTGACTTCCACGTGCTCATCACGGCATGTGGGCCCCCCCACATGCTCATCACGGTGTGTGCACCCCCACATACATGCTCATCACGGCATGTTCACTCCCTGCCCCACAAACACATGCTCACAAAATCAATGTGATGTTTCTACAAAGCTGTAGCCATCACAGAATATCCTGAGTAGTAGGGAGTGGGGCTCAGGGGAGAAACATCAGCAACAACCAAAGACGCTGCAGTGAGGGGGGCACATTGGAAGCTTAGGTGTGTCCCCAAAGCTCTCACCCCAGAGCTCAGCCCCCACTGTAGTGGTGCTGGGTCACGGAGACGCTACCTTCAAGGACTAATTAAAGCCTTCACCTTAGGAGTCATTTTGGGGATGTGGGTTCCTTCTACGGAGTTAAGCCCCTTTCTTGCTCTCTCCTTGCCCTCTGCCAGGAGATGACGGAGCAGCAAGGCCCTCGCCGCACACACATACTCACGGCATTTCCTCCCAGCCTCCAGCACCACGAGAGATAACATTTGTTACAAACGACTAGTCCGGGTGTTCTCCCGCAGCAGCAAACATGGTCTAAGATGGAGAGTGATGAGTGAGGTCTAAATTAAAGGGTGGTACGTTAGTGTAGGCTTCATGAAGGCCAGGGTCCTATTAACCCAGCCCCAACAACAGAGTGAGGACACACTGACCAGAGTGGCTACATGGGTGTGAACAGTACAACCACAAGAGCGGGTTGGAGCTGATGACTGAAAGACAAATTGGTAAGTGCTGTATCGGTGTGAGCTCACGCGGGCCTGTGGAAAGAGGACACAGGGGCACGCTAAGGATGATCTTTTAGCCCTTTCCAGCTGCAGCCGGATCAGCCTCTGGCAGACAGAGTCACACAATTCACACCTTTAGCAATGGTGTGAATGCCATATGCGAACTCTCAGTTAAGAGACCTCTCTGGTTTGTCAGTCCTCCCACAACCAGGTTTTGCATAGGACCCTAGGAAACTCTCAGATAAGATTTACGTATTTCAAACAAAAGGTTCCAGAGACAAAAGGCAGTAGTCACAGAAGCCAGTTAAAGCTAGGTGCCAACACTCAAGGAGTCAAACCAGCTGCAGGATTCTGCAAGAACTCCCCTAACAGGTAATAATAATAATAATAATAATAATAATAATAATAATAATAATAAGTTGATATTTACATTTTTGCTCAAACCTAAATTCACATACCTGCTATTTGTTAGCTTTGGAACCAGGAAAGTGTGTGGCCTTACCATAATATGGTTTGAAGCCTCAACCATTTAGCTCACATCAGGTTACTCAGGCACCGGTACCACCCAGGTGTGGCTGAGCTAAGGGAGCGGACTGGGGTGGGGTGGGGAGGGTAACGGGAATTGAACCTAGGGACCTATGCATAGAAGGCCCCCTGAGCTGCAGCCCTGGCTGTACACAGCTGTCACATGCCTAGCACAAAGAGCTGGGCCACTTCATTATCAGTTTCTCCTGGCCCCTAGGGATCTGCTCCTAGCCAAAGAAAACGTCCCTTATGCAACAGCAGGATGCCTCTATTTGTTTAATCACAGTGAGTGTTGTGGCTCTGAGTTCTATTTTTAAAACACAACCTTGGGCTTGCTTGTTTGCTTGCTAGCTGCTGACTTCTATTTGCCTGCACCGAGCTTGGCCACCTGTCTTTATCAATCTCATACACTTGCTTATGTCCCTTGGCTGACAAACTAAGAAAGTTAATTCTTTTAAATTATGCATATGTATGTGTGCCCCTATATGCACTGAGGTGCTCTGAGGTCAGAGGAGGGTGTTGGTCCCCTGGTACTGGAGTCACGGGCAATTGTGGGACCCTATATAGGTGCTGGAAAACAAACCCATTCTCTTCTACAAGGACAGTATGCACAGGAACCACTGAGCCATCTCTCTAGCCTCCCTTGCTTTTACATGTATTTGTTTTAAAGACAGGGTCTCCCTGTGTGACTTGGGCTGGCCTGGAACTCCCTAGGTAGGTCGGGCTAGTCTTCAACATCCAACTCACAGACATGGGCCTGCCTGGCTCTCAAATGCTGCTCTGAAGGACATGTACCAACATGCCTGGCTCATGAGAATATTTTTATGAGCATCCGTCATTTCAGAATGGATTCTAGGAAGTTCTCTAGAGACCGTGGTGGTGGTGGTGTGTGTCCAATTCTAAGTACCCACACATAGTGTTAATGTGGAAGCTTCACCCCCAGCCCCTGGCATCCATATATCCAAAGAGTCTGGGATGTTATCGTGGAGGGTCCACCCAGCCCCCCCCTCCCCTGTCTCCCTCCAAACCCTGCTGCATCTCAGAAAGTCCACCAAGTGGTAACCCTCCCCAGAGATGCTCAAGACCACTCCCACAGGGTATGTAAACTGTCCCCCCAGAAAACAGTGGCTTTCCGGTCTCTCTTTCCCCGCTCCTTTCTTGGGGGGAGCTGGAAGGCCACCCCGGGGAGCATCGTATCCATTAAACGTGGGCCTTTTTCTCATTCTGTTGGATTTGGATTGCTGCATGGGAGGAGAGGCTTATCTAGAAGCTTCACACAGGCTCCCAGCCTTCCCATGCATCTAGAGTCCGGGTGGGTGAAGAGCAGGTTGGGGGTCAGAGGAGTGCCCGCTTAGACTGGGGTGGACCGAAGGCTCCAGGGAGCTGCCCTCTCCCAGTGGCAGCGCGCCCACCTCTGCCCCGTGTGGCACGCAGACGCAGGCACTCTCAGGCTCGGCTGCGGACTGCTTTCCCATGCCGGCGGCGGCGGCGTGACGCATTAATGGTCACTATGCAGATGGGCGGGCGAGCCTCCCGCAGCGCCGGGCCCCACCTCCCTTCCTCCTTAGCGACCCAGGCTCCGGGAGCCAGGCGCGCGGCGCATGCGCAGCTGAGAGGCCGGGCAGCGTGGGACTTGAAGCGCGCGCAGTGGCGTGGCCGCGCCCTCGGATCGTCCGAGCGGGTGGACGACGCATGCGCGGGCGGCGCGGTCTTAAGGGCGGCCGCGGCCCGGGGCCGCCCAGTCGGCCTGTCAGCCGGCTTCGGGGTGCGCTCCTACGCCTGCGCGGCGGCGGCGCTGAACGCGATGGCGGCGGAGGAGGAGGTGGACTCGGCGGACACCGCGGGAGGGTGAGGCTCGTCCGGGAAGAGGGACGGCGGGGTCTAACGGGGATGGGGGGCGCCCCGAGGACGGGTGGCGCTGGCGATGTCTCTCCCGGTCCGTCCGGGGATGACGGACCGCGCCGCCGGGGGCTGCGGGGACCGCGGCCGCTGAGGACGCCCGGCCCGGAGACTCCGCTCGGCATCACCGCGCCGGCCCCGAGCGCGGCGGAGATCGGAGCTCCGCGCCGGCCCCCGGCGACCGCTCCTGGACGCGGGAAGCCGGGTGGCACGGGGTGGGAGGTGGGCATGCGGCCCCAGAGAGCGTCGGACTTCCGGGAAGCTCCGGGCAGGCTGACAGGCAGCTGTCCCGCTGCGCCCGCCCGCGTCACACCTCCCCGGTGCCTGCCCGGTGCGCCCCGGGGACCCGGCGCTGCTAAGCAAGGCGGCCCGAGTCTTCTGGGCGGCAAACTTTGTGGAAGTTGAAGGGCAGAGCGCCTAGCAGGAAGCCCTCGACGTGTTTTGTTTTGTTTTTTGTTTTTGTTTTGAAACGGCGGCGTGTGCCGACCGGGCGAGCTTCCAGTCCTTTTTTGCCTCCTGCCGCCGCTCAGTGCTGGCGTCAGGTGTGAGGCACCACACCCTGCTTTTTTGACAGACTCGTTTTAAGTTATTCCTGCCTGCCTGCCTTTGGTACATGCCATGCCCTCCGTGAGTAGGACAGTAGGTTGTCGCGTTGGTTCTCAGAAGGCCGCCCTTTTCGTATGGACGGGACTTAGACATCTATCTCCCTTACAAACTACTTTGACAGCTCCACTGCAGAGATTTGGAGACCTTTGCTAGGAAAGCAAATACTGGAAAGATGTTAGGGGAGGGGTATTTTGAAATGTTAGAAACCACGTTCTCCTAGTCTTGCTCAAGTGGTAAAAGTTGGGGCTGTGTTTGGTTTGTTGTTGAGCTCACTAGTTACACTGATAGGAAATGCAGACTCCTATCAGATTTGTCAGGACGCTTTTTGGCCCTGAGACCACTAACTTGTGACCTTCGTCTTGATGGTGTGAGGCTCAGGAATCCGAAGCACAACGATGAGAGGGAGTAATTTATGGTTTGGGTGATGGCTGGATAGAGGTCACTGAGGGCAAGACCAGCCACAGCCCCTAGACACAGGTAACCCTCCCTGGTATATTCTTGGCAGGACATTTGAGCAGTGCTGGGTATCTGCACGGAGAGGAACCTCTGAACTGCAGCAATCGAGCAAGCACAGAGAAGGCTAAGCTCCCCCTGGGTGGTCATAACAACCCTAATGTCCATATCTGCCTACTCCCATTTTCATTTGGAGCTGCCTCTACCAAGTGGTAGAGCTAGTTGGGAACCTACGCCTTCAGGTTGCCTGCATTTAGTTTTAAGACATTTTCCTTACCTTTCTGCTGCTTCTCGACTGGATTGGGATTGGTGGGATATACTTGCCTACTGCTCTGAGTCAAGTTCTTCAAGACCTTCCGGCTTAGACTATGCCGTAATTTGGCTGTGATCTGAGTGTCCCCGGAGTTCAGATTTAGCCCTCATTGTGAGGAATTAGCAAGTGGGGCTTTAATCTGATGGTAGTACCTAAAGGCAAGGCTTTGGGAAAGTGATGAGGGTAAGACAGTCGGTAGAATGGAGTCCTTGTGGTCTTAGGAGAGAGGAGGAGAGATCAGTGTGTGTACCAAGTGTGTCTCCCCATGTGCCAACACCAGGACAAATCCTTCTATTTGTACCTCAGGAACTATGACCAAAACACCTCGCGTCTTCGTAACTCACTACTTACAAAGATGACATTGATAAAGCAAGCAGATATAGAACAGTCATCTCACAGCCACATAAGTCTCGCCTTTCCCTTTGTGGCTCTAAGTGGAGACAAGTGTGCTGGGAAGCTTTCAAAACCCGGCCCTTTTCAGTTGCAAAACGGTAGAGAAAGCCAAATATAATTAAAAAAAAATAGGGTAGATTCCTGTGACTTGCTGTAACAATGTCCCAGAGAATTAAGTGCTGGTTGAGTTTGGGGGAGAGTCATCACAGAATCACACCGTTGCACACTGGGCCATAAAATAGGTGGCCTGCAGGGCAGGCTAGAGTTGGTATGTACTGGTAGACAATTGCTGAATTTTCAGAAATTTTATAGCACCAGCACCCTGAAGCCAGCCATTGTGAGAGAATTCACACCATGGAAGTCATCAAAGGCTATTAAGTAAGACAGAGCTTCTCCCTTCCTGCCTCAGTTGACTTACCAGCACCCTGCCGGGGTTATGTTAAAGTCTGTGCGTAGCCGGGCGCTTTGGGAAGTCAAGGGTGGGCTTCTTTATCTTACCTCCTAAAGAACTGCTAAGATTTGTACTTCTTGCTGCTACTGCTCTGTAATCCTTGCCCCATGACTTCTTCAAAATCGTGAAATTCTGCAGTGCCAGTACTTATCTGACTTGGGTCTTACACAGACACACACACACTGACCTCAAGACCTCACGTGAGCCCTGTTCCACTAAGCTACATTCCCCAGGCCTCTTGAGTCCTTTTCAATATTCAGTACTATAGTGAAACTCTGACTAGACAGCTAACTCTTAGAACATTTTGTTTACTCTCTTAACTGAGACCAGCAGTTACTTTTATTCCAGTTTATTCTTTTCACTATTTTCTAAATACAGTAATTCCCTAAGAGTTTATTACTATTTTTATTTATGTACAGTTCTGGAACTAGCATGTCTTTGAAGGACTGAGCTCTCACTCTTCTGTGCTGTAGTTTGTGTTTGCTGGCTATTTGTATGCAATTTCAAGTGTAACACGTCCATACATAGCCTATTTGTGTCTCCTTCCTTTAAATGTATAAAGTGCATAGCTCTTCCTCTTACTGTCCTGTTTTTTTGAAGACAGTTTCATCCTTCTGGCTGTCTACACTCATCTATCTATCTATCTATCTATCTACCTACCTACCTACCTACCTACCTACCTACCTATCAGTTATGAATACGGTGTTCTGCCTACATGCATGCTTGCATGCCAGAGCGGGCACCAGATTTCATTATAGATGTTGTGAACCACCATGTGGTTGCTGGGAATTGAAGTCAAGACCTCTGGAAGAGCAGCCAGTGCTCTTAGCCTCTGAGTCATATTAGCAGCCGGCTGTCTACACTCTTACAACTGCTCTCTAAATATCAAACCTGTTCCCTTGTCTCTGGATAACAAACCAGTTATGCAGTCCCCATAGAGTCTGATAACCTGACCTTTGTAGTCCCATGTAGTTCAAAACCTTCATATTCTTCCCTCGGATTTTTGTATGTTTGGTAACATACACTGGGCATAGTCCATTCCAGTAGCTCCTTTTCTACTTCCAAGAGGAACCCTTCTTCTCACACAGTGAGTTATGCTGTACCCTTAGTCCGACTCAAAGCCACTGGGAATCTGTGTGGCTTCCATTCAGCTTTGGAGTTTTGTTCCTTTTCTATACGCTGACCTGGAAAGCTGTATTTTTCATGCTTCCTAACCAGCCACCACCTGCTTTCCTGCCACTCTCCATGGTTTGTTTCACTTCGTTCTCTGTAACCCAGGGTAGATTATTACCTCATTTCTCTAAGGCCTTGGTGTTTTATGCGTCTGTGTGATGCATGCATGTGTATGTGCACGTGTGTATGTGTTGCATGTCTGAGGAGGACATCGGGTGCCTTCACCTGTCACTCTCGGCCTTATTCCTGAGAGACAGGGTCTCTCACTGAACCTGAGACTTGCTGCTTTGGCTAGTCTAGCTCCTGGGATCTGTTGGGGTTATAGGCATGCTAGGGTATGTGTGCTCGCAAGGATGCTGGGACCTGAACTTAGGTCCTCGGACTTGTACAGCAGGTGCCTTTACCCGCTGAGTCGTCTCCTCAGCCCCCATGGTATTTCCTTTAAATCCGCTTTTGTTTTCAGAAGACAAGCTCTTACTGTGGCGTTCAACTTCTGAATTTTCTGCCTTTACTTCTCAAAGGCCACGAGCGCACCAGCACACTCGGCTGCATCGTTCTTTGTCTCACCGAAGTCCTGCTTAATAACATTCTTATTTATATATTTCTTTTGTCAGCCCAGAACAAGGCTTTTGTCCTACTCCAATGTTTGGCAGACTCCAAAGGGGCTTTGTAAATGGTAATCTTTAATAATTTTTATTAACCCTTTAACTATTGCAAACTTAACACTGACATGGACACCAAGCTTACAGACCTTGTAGTAAATTATTCATATCTCAGGTGTGTGGCTTATTTGTGTTCCTAAAACATTCAGAAATTGTTGTATGTGAGTACAATAGCAATTAGAACCACACACTTCAATTTTTTCTGGGATGTTGGACACAGGATTCTACTTCTTGAACTCAGATGAACCAATCCCTGCCTCTCTGTCCCTGCACTCTAGAATGTCAGTCACAGATCAGCAAATGCAGATGTCAACCCTGTAACCAAAACAAAGATTATAAAATCAGGGGCGTGCCATGTAATCAAAACAATGCCCAACAATATGTTTCAGGACTCCAAGATGTGACCCATACTATTTTAACACCTACTCTGAAACTTTATGTTGCTTTTTAAGATAACCTTGACTAATTGTTAAATTTTTCGTTAAACTTAATGCACCCCCAATTGTAAGTTATTAAAAAAGTGTAAAGATAATTCTATTAAAATAATCATTAGATTTGAGACCATCATTCTCTGATGGATTAGGTTATTATTATTATTATTTTTTTTTTTGGTTTTTCGAGACAGGGTTTCTCTGTGGCTTTGGAGGCTGTCCTGGAACTAACTCTTGTAGACCAGGCTGGCCTCGAACTCACAGAGATCCACCTGCCTCTGCCTCCCAAGTGCTGGGATTAAAGGTGGATTAGGTTATTTTTTAATTGACTTAAAGAAACATTTCTGACTTGCTGAACAGTGAGCATGGGTGTTCACATGGGACTGTGTCAGATGTGTCTGGCTCTTCTCCTGAGCAGTTTGTTCACTGTGTGAGGGGAGGTAGGAAATGGAAATGCCATAGAAAGG